GGGGGAGACCGGGGCGGGGAGCGTAAGTGTGGCAAGACGCCCGAGAGTCAGGGCTGGAGCTGAAGGTGGGTGACGGGGAGGGGGCACCCGGGTGTCAGGACCTGAAGAGAAAGAGTGCGCGTAGCGGGAGGGCCTCCGAAGTGTCGGGGCGGGATCCTGGAAGGAGGTAGGACGTGAGTAGCAAGGAAGGGTCCCTGGGTGTCAGGGATGGGGGCCAGGAAAGGGGCAGAGAGCTGGAGGCCCGCCAGGGGGCATAGCGGGGAAGGAAGGTTGGAGCGAGTGGGGAACGCAGGTGGTGTAGAGGGCGGGGACAGGGCGAGGGGCGCAGGGCGTGAGGAAGTTGTGGAAAACTGCGCTGGACGCTGAGAATGTGCGGAGGGATCCGGAGGGGAGGACGCGGGACAGCGCGGTGAGAGAGGAGGAGAGTTAGGGTTGGCTGGGAGGGTGCGAAGATGACGCGACCACTGGAGGCTGTGAGGGTGAAAGGAGTAAGAATCGTCTAGAGACAGGGGCTGGGCCGGTGCTGGGGCCAACGGCTTCTGTCTGTCAGGCCCTTTTTGGCGTTCACTCTAGTCTAGAAAGAAGAGGCGAAGACGCGAAGAGATCGGGTTAGAGTCAGATTTTCGAAGCACGGAGATGGGTTCAGTAACATAGGACAAAGGAAGACGAGAAAGCAGCTGCTGGAGAACGGAGGTGGCCGCCGCTGTCCTTTGCTCTGCGCGGGGCTGGGCACCGCCCCGAGAGCCCTCCCGGAGGGGGCGGGGCGGGGCCGAGTGGCTCGCCTGCTCTTCCGGGCGCCCTGGGCAAGCAATGCGGGTGACTGAGCTGGGGTGTGTGTGCCAGTGTGTGTGTGTGTGTACACACGGGTGAGCGTGTGTGCGCACCCCACCCAGACTTCCACACGCGCCCTGCTTAGTACCAAGCCATATTGTGGTCTGATGAGTAACGTAAAGCCTTTGGGGTTTATATTATATTTACCTTCTTGCTGTGTAGTAAGCGCTCTCCCTCCTCTGTTCCCCAGGTACCATCTGACTAGCTCCCCACTTAGAGCTGGGGACAGGCAAAGCAGCCCTGGAAGTCTCCTGTGATTTCTAAGCTTAAATGTCTGTTTTTCTTTTCTCCCATGCCTTGTAATTGGGAAGAGGGAAAAGTTTACTTAAGAGCTGTTTTTTTAAATTATTACTCATTTGTTTCAAGCAACACTCTCATACTCCAGATAATTCCATTTTCATCTCTTTGGAGCTGAGCAAACCAGATGAAATTATATGAATCCCAGTTTATTTAATTTTGTTTTAGAATTCAACAATTTTTATGAATTTCTAATCCAACCTCATCATCCTATGGGAAACAGAAGACCACCAAGAATAGCCAGCTGGTAAGTGGCAGGGCTGGAACTAGAACCTAGATATTTTTAAGCCACTTTGAAACCATGCTGGTTTTCAACCCTAGCTGCACTCTAAAATTACTTGTCTCACTTTTTTTTTTCTTTTTCTAGTCATCTGAGTTGAAGATTCACTGGGTCACTTTTTAAAAATACCACCTGGGCCCATATGTCAAATGAATCAGACTCTGGTGTTAGGACCCTGGCCGTGAATATAGTTTTAAAGTTCCCCAAGTGATTAAGGTATAACAAATGTTGAGAACTACACTATATGCATTGCAAAATAGATAACGGAGAAGGAAAAAAAGTGACAAACTAAGAAGAAAAAAAAAAAAGCGACAACTAAAACCAACACTTTAAAAGAGAACAGAATTTTTTACCTGAAATTGAAATTGACGTTTACTATCCATACTTTCCTCTCATACACAATGACATGTACCAGTAAATACATGTATCTTTGACTTTCGCTTAGGAAACCCTAGGTACTGCTAAAATGCACTAACTGCTCCTTCAGAAGAGAGGAGAGCAGAACTAAAAATAATCAAAAGGAATGGGTGGAACAGTCTGCCTTATTCAACTATTTCTATGCCAGATTTGAAAAAACAAACACCCCAACCCCAGCTAACTATCAACCCAAGCAGAACCAGAAGCCAGAATATACACACTGCTCTGAGGTTTAAACTTTTTGAGGTTAAAATAGCTTAGTTTTTTTGAGTATATAAAATGTGAACTTCAAAGTCGAAGTCCAAATTAGACGATTTTGGCTTCCTTTACAGTAGAGGGTCACCCTCTGGGCCCTGCACTGATTTCTAGCAGTCATATGGTTAGCATGCTGGGTTCCTGAGGCTGTGTCTCCCTGCAACCCCACCCATGCTTCGCCTACCTGGAGACAGTGCCAGCTCATGAAATACAATGGGCATGAGCCAGTATCACTGGAACATACGACTTTTTACAGGAATGAAGCAGAAGTCAGTGAGGTTACTGTTACTGTGTTTCCTTTTTACAGTTTTTACTACAACTAGATGTGTTTTTCCTATTAAAGGGACTACTTAGGAGTGGAAGGAAGTCTTTTAAACAATCTTCCACTGTTATTCACACACCTGGACGAAGTAAAAATTTGTCACAGTATTTATATGTCGCATACATAGAATATATATCATATAGAATTTTTAAATTGACTTTAGCGTAAATGAACTCCTTTTCAAAGTACTTGCCCCAGTTTGACAGAAGATCGCTAGGCTCAGAACTAAAGAAAGTAAAATGTATTCACAAGATCTCTGTCTTTTGGTCTTTCTACAATATGGATCTTAGAGGTGTTTAGTTTGTTTTGGTACAGTGTTTTACTTAAAATCTTCATCTGACTGTGTCCTGTACAGCATTATCTTTTACTTTGGCCTGTCCCTCAGTGTATGAACACATTTAAAGTTGAGTCAAAACTGCAGTGTTCTTGTTGAACTTTAGAAGTAACAGCTGTCTTCATCACTGAATTTTCAAGGTCTTGACAGGCCATCAACTAATCCCAAAATGCAAGTCCTGGCCAGGCACTGTGGTTTACACCAGTAATCCCAGCACTTTGGAAGGCCAAGGCAAGGGGATCCCTTGAGCCCAGGAGTTCAAGGCTACAGTGAGCTATGAATGCTCCACTGCACTTCAGCCTGAGTGATGAGTGAGACCCTGTCTTAAAAAACAATACAGGCTGGCTGGGCACAGTGGCTCATGCCTGCAATTCTAGCACTTTGGGAGGACAAGGCAGGTGAATCACCTGAGGTCAGGATATCGAGACCAACCTGACCAACATGGTGAAATCCCATCTCTACTAAAATACAAAAATTAGCCAGGCATGGTGGCAGGTGCCTGTAATATCTGCTACTTGGGAGGCTGAGGCAGGAGAATCACTTGAGCCCTGGAGGCAGAGGTTGCAGTGAGCCAAGATCATGCCACTGCACTCCAGGCTGGGCAACAGAGCAAGACTCCCTCTCTAAAACATAAAGAAAGAAAGATTAAAAAACAAACAGACTGGGCATGGTGGCTCACACCTGGAATCCTGGCACTTTGGGAAGCCAAGGTGGGTGGATCACCTGAGGTCAGGAGTTCGAGACCAGCCTGGCCAGCATGGTGAAAACACATCTATACTAAAAATACAAAAAAGTAGCCAGGCCTGGTGGCAGACGCCCGTAATCCCCGCCAGTTTGGAAGCTGAGGCAGGAGAATCACTTCAGCCTGGGAGCCGGAGGTTGCAGTATGCTGAGATCAGGCCACTGCACTCCAGTCTGGGTGACAGAGTTCAAAAAATAAAATTAAAAAGCAAACAACAAAAAAATCCGCAAGTCCTTTCTGCAGTTCCTATAGGCTCTTGAAATCTATAATTCTGTGGACTTTCATTTTTACATATGAGTAAGGGCTACTTGTAAGTAAATAGGTATTAGGAGGTATATCTAAAGTCACAAACTAAAATAGTTACCTCATTAGAATTTACTGAGGACCTAGTACTCTGCTACAAAAGCTGGGTGTTTCACGATGCTCAGAATCATTGCAGCACCCCTTACTGCATGTAAATATGCCTAGATGGTGGGCATTTCTATAGATTCTCATAATAGGTTTCCCTGCTTCTATGCTTGCAGCTCTTGCAGCTCTATAGTCTCTTCTCAACACTGCCAAACCGGAAGCCTCCTAAAACATTAGATCAAA